TATTATTATTATTATTATTATTATTATTATTATTATTATTATTATTATTAACCATTTTGCTAACAGAATATTCGGTGGTCATTGACGTAAATTAATTACGTTGACACTTAAGCAAACAAGACAGTAGAACTTATTATTAATAATGATATTTAGGATATTAGTGTTGGGAAATAAATTTTAAAAAAATCTTGCTTTCTTATTCAATAAGGATTTTACGGTATATGAACTTTTTATTATTTTTGAATTGCAGCATCACAATTCATCAGTTTTTATTGTGACTTGATATATTTATTTATTTATATGTATATTTTTTTTTAATTTTGCATATTCATTCGCTTTCTAATCACTTTAGGTAACTGAGGATCAGAGGTATGGCGATATGAAAGGTCATCTTTTCTTTACCTTTTTATTCATGTTGTCTTATCTTTCTTTTAATTTCTTTTCCTTTCTCATATTCCTTATTTTTCCATTGTTCTTTTTTTCCTTTTCTTTAGCTTTCTTATAATTCCTTCTCTAACCTTTCCCTTTCTTTCTTATTTCCTTTCTTATGTTTCCTTATCTTTTCTTTCCTGTTCTTTTTTATTTATTTTTTATCTGCCCACGACCCCTAGGGGGAGGAGTTCTTAAAACAAAATCTCCCGCCTACAAATTGGTCAACTTGGCATATATGGTTTTGACAGATGACCAATGGCTGATACCGATACCACCTGGTCCGATAATGGACTATGTTTAGAGTGAATTTGACCTAGTTATGGTTATGTACATGCTCCTATCAGGAGATTATTTTTCAAACATCTGACTTTCCTATTAGGCCTACTTATCATCGACAGCCTGAGTACAAAAATGAGAAGCTGCCCTCTAGATAAATTCAGACGGTTCGTTTCAGTACTATGTACAGTGAGTATGGCAAACGCTAACAATATTACCTAATTTAACTTTGTTGTTTTGTGATTTTTTTAAATGGTTTATTTATCTTCATGCCGTATATGATGTAGGGATATGAGCGTGACGTGTCATCGATAGGTTAGACTATTTTATAAAATAAGAACATAGTGAATATAAACTTTAATCAACATCATCTGAATAAATATTAAAGTTGTAATTTAATACAAATAGCGTATATAAAAAAGATACACTCTTCTGGCTGTGTCGAAATCAGCAATGTGAACAAAATGTACTGGACACTGTTTCAAAAGTGAAATCCAAAATATGGAAGTTGAAGTAATATTACCGATATATTCTAGATGAGTGAAATTGGTCAGTCACATGAGGGCGGCCTGCTGAAAATTGTTTTGCATGCTCTTGCTCTCTCTTTTCGGCAGCTTTGGACAAAATAATCACAAAACGGTGCGACGAGAGAATGAAAGAAAACCTCTCTGATGTCTGCGAAGATGGATGGTGATAATAAATCAAGCTATGTGAAACTAACGTCAGAACCAGGTGAGAGTGTTTCATTGAAGATCAGTACAATACATTAGATACAAACATTTTATATATAGTTCTATTCACAGGACTAGGCTTTAGCATTTAGGATAGGTAGTAGGCCTTGCTAGCTGGTGGACCAGCTAGCAAGGTCCCAGGCCAACTTCCGCAGGAAACTGCTGTATTCCCCTGTGATTCCGGAACGATGTAGGCCCTTAGTTTACCTAGCCTAGGCCTATGCTACGGCATATGCCCTGGCATTCCGCCCACCCCTTAACCATAAATGGGGGGGGGGGGAGGGGGTAGGCCTAGCAATTTTCAAGCCTCGGCCTAGCTGCTGAAAACGCAGGGTTTGATAAATTAAAATCACTGACACTAGGCTGAAGATGGTGTTAACCAACAACAGTGTGTGCCTCAGTCAAAACATTTTTCATTTTATTCATTTCGAACTCCAAGGTGATTGGTGACTTGGAATTACTGGAGGTAACGGATGTGTAAACATTTTTAGCTCGGGTTTGACAGTGCACATAGACTAGTGAATTGCAACTATATCACAATATGTAATTGTTTTAATAAAAAGTTTTTAAATACCTGATCTGAATGAGTAAGTTCAACCGTAAGGTCCACTGATTAATCTCAGATAAGGAAGTATTCTCCAAGTATTAAAATGCATGCTATAGTGTTGGAATTCAATATTCTGACATTAATTATGTCATCATCAGGAATGTCATTAGATTTTCAAATCAACATGTTACTGATGTTGATCATGGCAATGGATGAGGATTTCACCCAGTTATATTCTTGAATGTAGACTATTTTACAATATGAATTTCTGATTTCTTCAACATCTTTTTCATTGATGGTGTTGCGCTGTCTTCTTGATTGTGTGAGTATCAATCTGTAGTTATCAATCCTCATTGGAACTGGAACATGCAACAACTGGTGAGATACTGTAGGTCTAACAAACATTGCCAGTCAATGATGAGCCTGCTCAATTGTCGCTTTTTTTTATCGCAGGGAAGTACAGTAACTGTACAGTACCTGCCTAGTTGGAATTCTGATAATTCTTAGATTTATTGAGTCGTGCATTAACCATACAGTGAATTGTTTGCCTACGGTATAATGATCTGCCAGGCACAGATTGCACCATAAGGAAAGTTGTAGTTTATCGCATCACTTATTCTGACGTATAGATTAGCACATTTTACTATACCTACTGTTAAGATAAGTTTATCCACAGCATTGGGAATACAACATTGAAATATTATACAAATATTGACTGCTCATGAGGGGAATAGTGAAATCTATTGCCCAGAAGTGATGTGGAGGCTTCTATCTTTCTGACAGCCCAGGGAAAATAGACTACGGTTTCCACATCACCGAGGGGCAATAGATTTCACCGTTCCCCAAATCTAGAGCAGTCAATATGTGTTTTATATACCTCATATATATAGATACTAAGAGGCCTAAAAAATTATCGTCTATTTGCTGATCCATGGCACAGTCAAGGGCCAATCTCGTCGTAGAGTTCGCAGTCCCCTTTACCATCAGCGCAATGTTAAATTGGGGCCTAGGGTTTGCATCACGTGACAGGTCAAAAAATTACTATTTTTCAGGGGACTAGTAATTTTTCTGGGGAATAGTACTTGCCCACTTCTTAGCCAATCAGATGCGTAGAATCTATGTCATGAAGTATAAAATGAAATATTTACCGATTCATATCTATTTCAGAAAATCAATGCATCTGCATTGCATTCATTGTACTGTATCTGTGGTTTTCACTTTCAATATTTTATATATGATAACAATATTTAATCGGCATCCATTAGGCAACTGTTGCGGTCTAATTTTGCAATTCATCAAACAAACGCACAACAGACTAATCACTATAACCTCATCACAACTCTACAGTAGTACTAAATAATGACCTACAATATGACAAACTCAATAAAAACTTCAAATGGTACTGTAAACCATAGTAAATCACATCAAAAACATTCATCCATAATCAAGTCAAGCCTTGTCTCAACCATAGGAGCTCTACTCTGATAAACTCACTCCAAGTTTATTATTGTTTTGATGTGAAATGTAGGAAATGAAAATAAATATGACTATCTCAATGTGTATTGTGAATATGCTATAAAATGCTATAACTATACCATTATTAATACTAAGTCTCTTGTTAGAGCTATATCTGTGGAGATATTGTGCTTTACTTATACCAAGTGCTGCAATTAATCTGTCATCTATGTATATGACTGGCGCAGCTGGACTTACTACAAGTGTTAATTGTTACTGCAGTAAATGATTATATTACAACTGCGCATGATCACTATTATTAGTAGTGGCATACTAATTGAAAATTACTGGTAGTACTACCATACACTGTGATGGACTGTATTGTGTACTAACAGCAGATGTCGCGTGAGTTTACATCTGGATGCACTGAACTATTGCGTATTTTTTGTGGATTTTTAAGTAGGTCTGACATCATAGTTAGCTGAATTGGTAAATCTTCTTCTAGTGGATACAGTAGCTTACCATGAGGAGCTGACAAGTGGACACTTTAAAGCAAACCAATTGAGAAACCTACTATGTTGCTGTGCATTAGGATAATAAATAAGGCTCTACAGTAGAAAATCCATAGCAAAGATCCGCTCAAATTTATAACTTATGTAGTCCTATATTATTCATCTCTTTGTGAATTGAACAACATATTGAGGAAAGCATCTGAATAGAAAAAGAGAAGGATTTTGTGTGCTGCTGTATCAATATCATGTGAATGATATTGTTTTAAACAGGTGCACATTAACGTATACACTTTCAAGTTTATTTTTTGAATAGATATTATTATTGGAAGTCGTGAGATACAGTATTAAAGTTTCTATCTGCTTTTGGCATCAACATGATATATTCGTAGCATCTGGTATGCTTTCAAAAGAAGATTTAAATCTATATTTAGAATTCTATAGTAGCTGGCCTGGCACTCTGTGCGGATTACTGTACTATTATTTGTAGTTTGAAATGTAATGAAGACACTTTGAAACTTTGTTTAGGAAACCTTGTTTACAGTGAATCTCATGCTTTTTAGTCCTAATACTACACAGTACTGTAGCTCTGAGGCCCTCGTCCGCATTTTTTTTATTGATTGTCTACCAACGTAGGCTGTGGTGAATTGTTTACTGGGATATTTAGATATATATACAGTATGTTAGGAGGCAAACACCAAAAGAACCTATCTCTTTTTGGGTTGCAGTACAGTAATAAGCAATTTTCATCTATTCTGTGGTATTGAATATTTTAAGGAATTTGTATCGCATTAAAGTACTTTTTGGTAAATTACGCTCCCAGAAATTAGTAACAATTTAATATGAGATTATCTTTTTAAACAGTGCTAAATTAAACCAATTTTCTTGCATCGACAACTGGATGTTAAAGAATTTTAATTATTTCAAAATTGTGTATAATTTCTGAAATGATCTGCAATTAGAGAGGGCTGGCAAATAAATCAAGTACTTCCGAAAAAAAAAGCTTAATGTTGGAGGAAATACCCTGTAGTGCGTTTGATGACATCACAGCATTGGAAACCATGCCTCCAGCCTGTAGTTTCATTTTGTGTTTGCCTTGAGATCTAATCACATGACAAATCTCATTTCCTGTATTGTTCGGTCTCATTTCAACCACACATGGACAATAGCCTAGCAGTCCAATAGCAGTAAGTACTGTACTATTAGGCCTACACATTGTCATAATGTACAACCAGTGAAAACCTTTGGATTATTAATCCGCATTTGTTGACGAGAGGAATTAGCTTTATAACATTCAGCTGGCCTAATTAGGGAATTTCCCTTGTGTGCCTTTCTGAGATTGCTTCAGACAGGGAGTTGCTAATTCAGAGTTTCATAGAGGCATAAGGATTCATCTGGCACTCAGGATTTTAAGGCAGTGAGTGAGTGTATAATGTTCAGATCAAATTTCTATGTGAAGATCTTCATCTGATCGTTCTGATTGACCTATCAATTGTTTTGAAACCTGAAACCAAAGCCGATGTGATTTAACAATACTGTACTTTGACGACCAATCCCATTAAGCTTTAGGATAAGTATCATGAATGAACTTGATTGAAATGATTGTCTAAAGTGTTCTGCTAAAAGATGTGATCATCTAAACAGGCATGTTGGATTTTTTTGTGGGACAGACCAATAATGATTTTTGTGTGGAATCAATTGGCAATTATTTTTGTTTCTCGTGCAGGTATTGTACTACAGAACATTTGAAAACTATAGTATACAGGATGTTCTGCTGTATACAATAACATGGTTGTCTTCCTGTGAATTTGTATCAACTTCCTTGAGGTTTGTCCTCAAAGCCATATAATGTCTCCATAATACTCTCAAGTACTTGCTGTACAGTAGGCCTACCAGTTCATCACTAAATTTGGCCTGTTAGTTATCAAGTTGGAAAATTTACAGTATATAATTAATATTTCAATGCTTTGAGAGAGAGAAGTCTTTAATTTAAGTCTTATTTGAAGCGTCAGCAGACGAAATTCTTATTGGTTGTCAAGGATCTGACTGTAGACGTGGTTGTCATGAACAACATTCAGAACTAATTCCCCAGTTTGTATCCAATATCACCATACATAGAAATGATGCATACGGCTGTTGCTATGATACAGTAACTCAACAAAAAATTAAGTTGCCAAGTTTGGCCAGCAAACTTCCTCAGTTTTTCAAAGAAATTCTTAACCTTACATTGCCTAGACCTATCAACTTCTATTTTTGCAAACCACTACTACATTGAAGTTCATTTTGAGGTTGTATTTTGTAATAGTAAGTTGTTTCTCAAACTTTCATTTGTGGTACAATAATGTCAGCTGTTACGCAATTTGAACGTTTCCACAATGGTTCTGCTGAAGTCGTAGGTTCAGTCGGTCCGGACTCTCCGATTTTCCATGGATCTTATGAGTTTGACAGTGATGTTGACCTGACCTCACCGATTTCAGATGACTGTATTTTGTTTAATGAATTTGATTTGTCAACAGGTGAGAAGAATGAATTAATACAACTTGATTGATTTTTTTACAAAAAACAGTTTTTTTTTTATACATATATATATATTTTAGCCAGAGCCAGCCATCAAGAGCTATTAACCATCAAAACAATACTATACAAAAAGACAAAACAATAAAAAAACAATGAATCACTAACTAAAGGAACTATCTTGGGGTAGGGACGATACTCCACTAAGGTCCAAGTGACCTGCATAACCCACCCTATGTAATATACCTACGTATGCATCTAGGACTTAGAGTAGGGACATTATTCTGCATACCCCAAAAACCTCTTCAAACTATTATTAATTATTATTATTATTATTATTCAGTACCAAAAAGACCTTCATTTCTTTAAATTAATAAAACAATATACATTTATTAAATGCTTGAAAATAGTTAAATTTGTGGTACAGTAGGTCAGGGATGAATCAAAATAAAAAAAATCAACCATTCAATTAGTAAATTAACAAATCTGTCAGTCAATCATCCAATCGATCAATCAATCAATCAATTAATCAATCAATCAATCAATCAATCAATCAATCAGTTTGTAATAGACAATCACACTACAGGTATTCTTAAGTTGTCTTCTCACAAAAGGTGAGTGAGGTTTAATTAAAAGATGATGATGTATACAGAATGTGTATGATTCTCAGCAAAGTACAATAAATACAATATTATTTGCACATCATGTGTTCTTTGGGTGACTCATGTTGATACAAAACAAAATCTATAAAATAAATAACTGGTCAATGCATCAATTGCGTCAGGCTTGGTTGAGCCATAGTGTGCTACAGGCCTTAGCTTGCCACCGTAGTACTAAGGAGTAGAACTAGAGTACAATACCTTTTTGATTGTACAGCATTAGTTGAGACACACTGATACTAGTAGTATGGAATTTGTGCTGCACTTCGGGGTCATCGTGTACGTTGCTGACCTGTTTCTAAGCCACTCTTCATCTTGAGAATCCAAAATGCTCATTTTGTGGTCTACCTATAAACGATACTGTAGTACAATTATTACATTTGTCTCTGATCTTTATCGCATATGGTAAATGTTTCAATGGCAACTTGTATTAATGGGAAGGTTGCTTTCAATAAAACTCAATTGAAATGTAGAGAATACTGTAGTAAGTAGGGCCTTATATAAATTAAACCTTGACTTCCTGATATAGTAATCACAGTAGGATTTACTCTAATTGCTAGACCTTCACAAATGATGGATGTTACAATGTGCTTAATAGTAAACTAATGGAGTTGCTTTCATGGAAATAAATTCTCTAGGTTTGAGAAGTATATCCCTATGGTAAAATTATGTATATATAGATTGTTTAGTTTTCATTTATCTCTCATTAGTATCAGTGCGTATGTTTTTTTAATTGTGCAATCCATTTGATAGTTGTGTTTGCCCTTTAACAATTTCATTAGTCAAACTGGCTCTCATGACTGAAAGACGCAGAGGAACGCGAATTCGCTTCCGTCATGTCATAAAATTCAATCTATTGATGCATTTCAAAATATAAATGAACAGGCTCTTGATAGCTTGCTCTAATTGCCTAAACACTGATAACAGTGATAAAGAGGAAGTCTTTTCAGACTACAGTATACAGTAGTTTGTAATCAATTAATCAATCAATGAATCAATTTTTCTTGTTTAGCCTATATCCAATAGAAATAAAAAATTTTGAGTCTTCAAATGGGGGTGCTGATGGGGAGGGGGGTGCACGAAGATAAAGTGAGGGGGCTTGATCAGTTCAAGGGCAGGAACTCGCAAAATAAGGTGATTTTTACCTACTAGACCATGATTTTTTTTGGAGGGGTGTGCGCCCCCACGTACCCCCAAGATACACCACTAGCTCCTAGGAACTTGCAGCCGCCACATTGCAGTGCCAGTCCTGACTTTGATGGAATTTTTTTCTTATCCTGCCTATCTCTAGTGGAGTTTACTTGAGCAACGAAGAGATTAAAAACTGATGCTGGCCAGATTTTTACTGGGCGTTCAATTCAATGCAAGAAAAAGAGAAATATTTTTGGGTGGTTGAAAGCATGTCATTTATCTAAAACAAAATTCTTATGTTAAAGTTCCAGTTTTTTTTTTGCTTATTCATCAAATTATTTTCCACAACGATTTGTAATGAAGTGTTTATTGTCGTATGTAATTATTCCTGCTCCAAATTCTACTACAGTGCACGGCCTCCTAGAATGTTTCAGCAAGTCAGAGTGGAGGACGGTACAGTAATTACTGTACCTAATAATGTGCTAGTGGTCTTTTATTTTATAGTATAATTGTCACCTAAAACTCTTTAATTTGTAATTTGGAGGTCAGTCTTCTGTTCCACTTCGCCAATAACTCAAATTTGCCACTTTTTCCTTGTGAGGCTTCAAGTTCTACAATTTTTTTTTCCTATTGGTACAAAATTATTCCAAACCTTGTTGTATGATATCAGGATTTCATTTAATGTTTTTCTATTTGTTTGTGTACATTCAGCATTGGCGGACCATCAAGGCAAGCAAGGTATGCAGTGCATACCCTGGCTAAAACATATTAAAAAAAATATAGTAGTACAGTTTCTTCATTTTATTTAGCATTTCTTAGTTAGAATCTTCTATATACTGTAAACCTTTTAATGTTTTGAGTGGAATGCTACAGTTCATTGGAAATAGCAAAGTTTTTCAATGTTTAGCCCACTTTGGTATCTGGATAAGTCCCAGTCGGGCCTCGCATCGTACTCTCAGCTGCTTAGAATTTCCGCATGGTTGGTTTTCGATATCAGCCAATCACATAATTATTCAGTGATTCAATGGGAGTCAGAACATACCCTATAACACTTAAATTTGCTATTGTGACAACCGTGTGGTGGCATCAGAATAGCCAATTTAACACTGGAATGGAAGCGGTGCTTCCGCGAGTATGTGCGCATGTTCCTCTTCCCGCAAACTGGGACCTCCACTGCCGATCGGGTATTCTATCTATAGGCATATTGAATGATTAAAGTTTAAATAAATTTACATACATATGAGGGGTATAAAAGAAACTTTGAATTTTTATTATTTGAATTGAAATTTGTTAAAATACAGGTATAAGAATTCTTTTGAAGAAAAGACAATCATGCCGGTATTAAAAATACTGTAACATACTCTGTATTTTGACTATAGAACGCAACCTAATTCTGTATAGTATTAGGCTAACAAACTTTTCCTACTAGCAGGCCCAAGCATCAGTGGCGTAGGAGTCTTGAAATGGAAGGGAGTTGATGGGGGTAGGAAGGTAAAGTGGGGGATTGGTTATTAGGTGAGGGGGATAACTCGCAAAATAAGTTGATTTGAGGTGATTTTTAACTACTTGAGCATGATTTGTGGGGCGGGGTGCGGCGGGGGATGGGCAAGTATTTTATCAAGGGGAGGGGGGCTTGCGAGCCCCTCACAATCCTAGATATGCCAATACCTAGCATATCCTGCAATTTACCATACGGTCCGCCACTGACATTCAGAAAGACAAATTCAATACTACTATTCTGTATAACGAAGAAATAATCTTATCTTGAATAGAAATTTGATTACTGTATTCCTGCCAGTACTGTAAATAGACTAATGAGCAATCAAGGAAATCAATGGGATATCATACAGTATGTTTCTGCTGGCTAAAATTTCAGTGTAAAAAGTATGACGCTGCTTATCTCAGGCTGCCAAATAATAATTTCTTAAAAAACGTGGGATGTTTGGTAATAATAATAATATAATAGTCAGAGTAGTGGTATGCAGTGTGTGTATAAACACAAACGTTTATTTGTGGGAGGCGTTATTCCAATTGAGGCTCTGGAACAGCGTTTTTTCGGTGCTTATGAAAATAAATACGGTAAATACTGTACTGTAAATAGCACTGTTGGGTGTACTACTGTACATTACATTGCATTTTTAACAGTACCAATGTTGTACTGATTGTATAATGATCAATGGTCGAAAAAGTACTCGCATAGAGGAACAATGATGTAAAGGTTTTCTATTGAATGGTTGGGCGTTGTAATTGATGATAGAGCTGTTAAATAAGCATGAAGCTATTAAAAAAATAATGTACAGAGAGGTCATATAACATATGCAGGATGTTCTTTGTTATGGGCACAATGAAATTGCCATGGTAACATATATTAATCTCGGAAGTCTCTTGAGCTGATATTGTAAAAGTTCATGCCTCGTTTAGTTTATTAGGATCTGTTGACACAATACTAGTAAATGATGGCCTTCTTAACCGCCACTACTAAGACTACTACTACAGTACTAAGACTGCATGCTACTAATACCGCTACCAGTACTCTCTACCTTTCTACTTAACCACTGCTACTCCATGCTTCCAGTACCACGGCTGCTGCTGTCAATGTTGCAGATATCTTCCAGTATTACTGCTGAATTGTTATACTACTTACTGCTACTATCACTACGTCTAACCATCAGACTTCCCAAGTTGGGGAAAAAAAAAATCCCCTCACGCTACCATCCCCAGCCTGGTTTAGAGGGACAAATTCCCTGGAAGCTGACAAAAATGTTTACTTTCTAATGAGTTAATAATGTAACAATCCTTTTTGGGAAGGCAGAAGACGACCCAAAAAATTGGGAGAAACCAATGATTTTCAGGAGAAGTGCATGGATATTGTAAGTCTACCCAATGAGTATTGGGTGGGAGGATTTGAGATGGGCATTGGTCCTAGAGTTTAACTGATACTGTAGTGGTCTGCAGTTAAGTGCATGGATATTGTATGTCTACCCAATGAGCATTGGGTGGGAGGATTTGAGATGGGCATTGGTCCTACAGTTTAACTGTTACTTAGTGGTCTGCAGTTAAGTGCATGGATATTGTAAGTCTACCCAATGAGCATTGGGTGGGAGGATTTGAGATGGGCATTGGTCCTACAGTTTAACTGATACTGTAGTGGTCTGCAGTTAAGTGCATGGATATTGTAAGTCTACCCAATGAGCATTGGGTGGGAGGATTTGAGATGGGCATTGGTCCTACAGTTTAACTGACTCTGTAGTGGTCTGCGGTTAGTGATTCCCACTAATGTAGATTGAATGAGAACAATCTTTTTTTTTCTACAAAAATGATTATTATTTAAAAAAACACAAAACAAACAAAACGTTTACAAAAATTTCATGAACATTGTATAAAGTCTGATTATTTTTTTTTTTTAATTGACCCACTGAGATGTGAAAAAACCAACTCATATTTTGGTAGGGACCAGTCTGGCTGGAATCGCTTCAATCCACTGGTCTCACACCCGTAGCACAAAGAATAGCTACATGTACAGTATTTGATTGAGATTGCTATCATCACTGGAGCAGGCGTAATCTTTTGTTGTTTAGTTGTACAGTAGGCCTACCATCATTGACTTGCTGGGCACAGTTATGCTCTGGTTTCACAATTCTAAAGAAGATTTAACAATACAGTACTAAATGAGACCAGTTTGGTTTACCATCAATTGTAGACTCAAATCCTTCATTTAACAATACTGTTGTACTATTGTCTACTACTAGTAAGAATGCTGTTATTCCTGTCTAGTCTTTTGCTAAAATAGGTTGAATGAACTTTTTACTTTGTATACAGTAGTCACATTCTTAATCTTTATTAGCAAATGCTTTTCAAAAAACATTCTACAGTAGAAGTGCTATAATGTGAGATAGATTAAAAAAACAATTAGAATGTAGTCTAATTTGGTTTTCTTTTAAGTATTCAGGTACAACAAAGAATTTAATCTTGAAATTTAAATCACTACAATTTTACAAATCCCTGTGTGTCTACTGATTCTGTAAATATTCATGGTCGGCACTGCATTAATCTTAACTTTATACTAAATGATTTCATGATTGTTGTGTGAATTTGCATGAATTACAGTAGTACATGTTGGATATTGGTACACACATGCAATTACGCAATACAAGATCTGCTGTACTTGTATGCAGTGTCGAGTGTGATTACCATATTTTCATTCCTGCTGATTGTCACAGATTTGATAATTTTGTTCAAAATGTTTATTTCATTATTTATTTTGCATTCATATTATGTAGGAAAGCAACTGTTCATGTTAGCACTGTAATAACAATAATACTAGCAAGTCTGGGAGGAAAAAGTCCAACAAGCTGTTACACATTCATTGGCCAATAGTAGGCCTTTTATTCCACACACCTTTATTTTCCAGGGACCAACATTGCTCCAGGTATAACAAAATTGAAACAGTGTATTCTCTGTTTTATTTCTTGTCCTGCTGCCTTGTTGACCACATATTCTAGGCTCTGTTCTGAACATTTTTACTTGTTTATGTCTACTCTTCCTGTGTTGCACATAGTGATTAATAGGGGACTACCATGCAGATCAGTTAATACTCGATTCATCATCATCCTATTATTGTTATACTGTCTTTAATACCACTGCATTTTTGCTGTGGTGCGATCAATAGTAATCAAGTATCATTCAGTGCCACTAGCACCGGTTTGGGCATATTCTGAGAAAATTGCTTCACAACGGTCCTCAAGATCAAAGTGCGGGGAAGAGGCATTTACATAGCTAGTTCTACAGTGTACTGTAGAAACAAGAACCTGATTAATACCAAATTATATTGATTTGTAAGATTCGACTTTATTTAGTCATCAGGATTAACATCAGGAAAAACATACATCAGAAGAGCACATTTAAAGATATTTTTCCCCTTGGAAATTGGTGTTTTTTTCATAGGACAGGGCATCTTGTTTTTTTTTAAATGATGAATGTCTTTTAATAATGCCTTGAACACTTGTTGACGGTACAGCATAGCAAACTTCTTGATCAACCGTTGTATGTTGTTTTCAAAACTATTAACAGTTGCTTAAATTAAAAATTTTTGATTTAGAAAAACGGCCGAATAACCATTGCGGTTCTGGCATTTAAAATGTACAACAACAAAAAAAGAAGTCTGTAAAAAAATTAAAAAAAGATTTTAAAAATTTTATGATTAGAAGTTTAGAAGTACCTGCCAAGAAAAAAGTGGGTTTCAGGAAGGCATCCTTTTTTTGTTTGAGAGAAGGTTGCAAAACATTTTTTGAACAACTGTTTTCTTTTTGTCCCTTTTTGTTATGTGCTATTTGTGTCCCTGAGCATGAGACTTTGTTTTTGGAAAAACGGTTGTCACACGAGAGATAAATATCAAAATCAAAATAAAAATCAATATCAAAATATCTAAATGTAGCAATAATCAAGACGATATGGAATCTAGAATAACATCAGGAATTTAAACATATTTATTCATTAAATAATAGGAATCTGTTTTCAATTACCAATCAACAAATATGTAAATTTGTGGTTTTCATCATTGTTGTAGTAGGCCACTTCTTACGTCAACTCGTAATGTAGTAATTACACAATGTTTAATGTCACAAATGTTCATGAATAGCGATTAGTGTATGTGACTGAGGCAGGATTATGATCACACAGTACAAAGTGTAATATGTCTACATGTTTACATATATGTCTACATATGTCTAATTTTAACAACTAAATATTTGTTTTACACTCATGTTTGAATACCGTTTTTCTATTACATTTTGATTTATACTGTGTTAGGGTTTTTTGATTTATTCTAATTTATTAATTTGTACTTTTTATTTTTATTTAATAATTTGTTTTTGCATAGGTGCACCAATTTAAGTCTGTTTCTTGTCCTTTCATTCAAATATTTTATTGTTTATAATACTATATATTTTTATAGTGTTATTTATTTTGTGTTTTTGTTTCTTACTAATAACTCAGGTACAAACATCATGTATGTATGTATATTTATTTATTCAACTTTCTTTATACTGGAAGGCACGCTCAATGCGAAGACACTGGTTTTCGTTGTGGTCCAGTTAAAACTTAAAAATACAAAAGTTATTGGAAAATTTAACAAAAGGACTAAATCACAAAAATAGAGTAGAGACCAAATAATTGAGAGCATTTCTAAAGCTAGGCCTACTGTACATAGATTAAAACTCTGGAAAATCCCTAGTTATGTTGCTAGGTGCAGTAGTTGGTTCCAGTTCATGGATGCTCGATAATGAAAGGTTCATTTTCCTTGACACATGTTCTAATATCACAAGAGTAAAATCCTTCAAAGGTGTTTAAAAGAACTTGTAGGCTATTAGGTAATTGCATGGCATTTATGGCAAATAAATGCTATTTATGGTATGAGTCCAAATAAAATGAATCTTAATCTTACCAAAGGGTAAAATCTAAACATACAGTAAATGTACATAGGAAGTCTTTGTAGCCTAAAGCCATGTCCAGACTGTCAAATTTTATATTTAAAAACATAACATGTGACATGCCTAAATATGGTCATGATGACATCACATCATGACCATATATAGGCACACCATGACTATATATGGACATACAGCAGTATTTTATCAAAGAAAATTTGAAAATCTGGACAGAGCTAAACACTTTCCTGATATTCTGCAAATGTGTAACATTGTATATTCCACAGCAGGCCTCTGAAACTTAGAGATAATATCTGTGCAAAACTGTTCCCCCTGTAGTGAAACAATTTATTTAACTATTAAGGTTACTCTTCCTGTGTGTGCATCATATTTGGTTATCTTCCGTGATATGAAAAGTGACATACAGTACCTACGTTAGTTTAGTTTTTGTTCAGACTTACTGTACTTCTGCACGTACCAATGAACCTTTTTTTTAAGTGTCAATCAAACTTAACAACTGGCCAATTAAAACAGGGCCAGGAAAGGAGTTGAATAGCTTAGTGGTTACGAAGCTTGCCTTCCAATCCCAGAATCTTGGTTCCAATTCATGTCAGGATTTTTTCTCACGAATCCACTCCCAAAACCTCATATTGAGATTTAATTTGTGTAAGCATCATGTGTGTATGTTTGTCTTGTGTAAGGAATTGTCAACTACAAGTAGGAAAATAATATATACATTCACTATTGACATCCTTGTTACATGTGTTGTGTGCCTAAATAAATATTAATAATAATAATAATAACAATAACAACAACAACTACAACAATAATAATACATGCATGGCTAACAAGCACACATGATGTCCCACAAATGCACATGTTTGCATATGTTAGCAACGATATCCAAGGGGCGGGGCTTAGCGGAAAGGTGCATTATGGTGCAAACTACCACTAAATAGCTACTACTGTACTGCTGCCGCCGCCGCCAACTCCACGATCCAACATGTTTACTTAAACTGCACTGGTAGAATCCACTGTACCACTACTGAACTGTACTACCTGTAGTACCACGAAGTATTTAAGTGTTATTTGCTATACTGGTAGATGGTATTTATAATATAGTTAAACAAAAAACAATTATTATTTTAATGTAAGTTTATTGATATCATACTGTAATTAATTGACTGGACAAAACTTTCCCCTTGAATGCTGTAATTATTATTGTTTTTCTTTTCAACGTTAAATTTTTTTTTATTTTTTTATTTCCTTCACATCCAACAGCAATTATACTTGCCACTTACAGGATAAGAATGATCTTACAGGATAAGAATGATGCTTTATAAACTAAGTCTCTTTTATGAGATTTAGGGAGTGGAGTTGATTTTAATTGTGAGAAAAAGTCCTGCTGTGACAGGAATTGAACCCAGGACCCTGGGATTAGAAGGCAAGCATCTTAACCACTGAGCTATTCAACTCTACTCCATGTATTTTAAAATTAATTTTATATTATATTTATATTTTCAGAGGAACTTATTGATGCGCATGCAAGTAAATTAATGGAATGGGAAGCAGATGTAAGTGACCACGAAGATGACACGGTCTTCTTATCTGACAATGGAACTGACAACAAATCACAAAGCTCTATTGTCCAAATGGACTGTCAGTCTTCTGCGGCTACAAGTTCTGTAGCTACTACGCCCTCGGGCATAGCCCCTCTCCTTGTGGATGAAGAGACGAGCCACGCTTTCTTCTGTTACACTAAAGATGACAATGAATGGGCCTTTAATGTCATGCGCAATCTGGAATCGCCTTCTTATGGTTTCAGATTCGCAAATCACAATCACGAACTTGATCCGCATCAATCACAAATGGATGTTATCATAAACGCCATGAGTACGGCGAGAAAAATTGTGATTGTATTGACTCCCGGCTTTATGCAAAGTATCTGGTGCCGTCACGAGAACTTGAAGGCTCTGCGGCCATATTTTGCTGACCCAAGGAAAATTATACCAGTGGTACTGACGGAAGTAGATCCGCCTGATTTTTTAGATGGAATTTCATCGATAAATGCTTTGTCAAAGAATTTTTTACAGATGTTTGTTTCTTCATTAACTCAAGGTAATGTTGCGCTGTACAGTACTTATTTCAGTTGGTTGTTTCTTCATATTACGATGAATAATTAAAAACTTCTTCGTAATATGATTAATTAATATATTAGATCAGTAATTGATCATATTATGGTGATGTAAGTTAAATAGATTTTACTGCTATTTTGTTGTGTTCTTTAATATATTTTATTGTTAATTTGCTATAGTCTAATGCTTAATAGTAGGAAAATTATCTGGTTTCAGCAAGTTCTTTGGTCACTTTCAGAAACCATTGCTAAGGTATGGTAAGACACAATTGATGAAGCTGGCATTGGCTGCCAGCGAAAGCTTGTGTCTAATAAAATTACATCTTTAAAGTTAGTCTTAGAGTGCTATCTCATCATTACCAGTTATCAAAGTTTAAGCAACTATATGGTTCAACCAAAACAAAACTGATGATTTTCCTACTAAAAAAAAATGAAATTCTTTTAAAATATTTTTAATGTTCAGAATAAAAGTTTTAGAATTTCATTCAAACTTGGCTATTCCTACACAATGAGTCGTCAATCAGTGGAATCGAGAAATCTTTCCTGATCTACCAACAAGTGCTAGAATAAATCTGCTCACAGCCTCCAAGAGTTTGGAAGGAGAATCATCTGTTCATTGCCATCAAGACATTGGAAGATTTTTTTTTCAAGCCCACCAATAAGATGGACGAAGAAATTTTATAAAGTTTTTTTAAGGCCTAACTCTTTTGGGGAAAGGAAAATATGCTCAAGGCTATCTCTGCTGTACCTTGTTTGCACATGGTCCCAAATCTTCAACTAGCAGTATCATTTTTACTAAAAAAAAAATCTATTAACATTTTTCTTCAATATACAGTAACAATAAAATATAACATTTGCTTACTTCACAGGTAGTACAAATGGAACATCAATAGGTTGTCACAGCACCAATAGATTAGGTGAGTAGGCTGTTAATGCGATGCCATATTTAATTGCCATGTCATGATAATAATCAATACATCAAAATGAGTTTTTATGACTGATTTTTTTTTTATAACTAATTTACATATTTAAAATACAAAGAAAATACTTTGTGTCACAAATATTAAATTAAGTTTAATACGGGACACAATCATAAAAACAACAGTGTATGTTTAATGAAATACAATCAGTTCTGTATCAAAGTCATGTTTGAGTCAATGATTCATTAAAATTTAAAAAAAAAAAAGATTTTGAAAGTACTGTATGTTTAAGATGTTATGTTGAAAACATTGGTGCTGTATTTGCAATAAGGTTGGAGTTGACTTCCACTCTGTCCTTGGGCAAGAAATCCAGAAATCTATGCGAATTGGCCTGATCACTATTGACTGCATTATTATGGACTACTCCCAAGGAAGCTGATATGTGTTCCATACTATAGGCATGTTGCAATCAGCTTTAGATTGAAATTATTATTTTTTTTAATTTAGTTATAGTTGACATATTTGTATAGAAAACTTGATTATTCTGAATCTGGTATTGAGCCTATTCTTCTACATCAGGTACATATGTCACAGTGTTTGGCTTCACAATTAGGTACTAGTTTCAAGCCAGCCTCCTAAACATTCGCTTCATTCTATTTTAGGCCAAATTCTTGGCTTCTACACCAGGATTTACCATAAATATACTTTAGTGCCCCCTTTTTTGTGACCAACAAGGAAATAGAAGAGCTATTATTGTCTCTTTTCTTTGTACACATCAAATTATTTTCCCCACCAGTATACTTCACCACAATATTGGGAAAGTTTAAAGGATGTACAAAAC